ATTAAAGAGGAGTTTCCGGTAGGAGAAGTTTGTGATTCAGAAGAATCACTTGGGATTTTAGGAAAAGAGATTGATAGGATTTTTCTTTCTTTTGGTCTTAGTAAATTCCAGTTGAGTTTTAAACCCTCGAGTGTTTGCGTTGCCAAAAGACTTATTTCATTCTGCAATACCTTTATTTCGTTGATATTTTCTTCCGATAGGAAATCAAATTTGAAAGAATCAAGGAATTCGATATGCAAAAGAAGTTCATCCAGAATTTCTCCAAATAGTTTATTTTTCTTTTCTTCATTCTTCTCCCTTATAGCCTCATCTCCTTTTCGAATAGTTCGGATAATCAAGTACAGTTTTGGAGTTAATTTTCCAAGTGGATTTAAGGTTTGAGATAGTCTTGATGAAGAAATAGCCTGAGGTCTCAAAGATCTGCGTCTAGTATTTAAAGGTGTTCCTCTTGCTGATTCTCTCGATAAGCTTCTACTTCTGGATATTATTCTATTTGCTAAGACAGAACCTCTTGGGCGACCTCTTCCTGCTGGCATTTTTGAGTTTAGTTTTTCTTAAAACAGATGGGAAAAGAGTTCCCCTTTTCAGATGATAAGCTTCTACTTCTGGATATTATTCTATTTGCTAAGACAGAACCTCTTGGGCGACCTCTTCCTGCTGGCATTTTTGAGTTTAGTTTTTCTTAAAACAGATGGGAAAAGAGTTCCCCTTTTTAGAACACAATCCTTGGAGGATTTTTTCTCGCTTTTTTGCTCACCTTGGATGTCGTATAGTCCGTTGGATTGCAGATTCTTTCACTGATTTCACTTGTTTTTCTGCTCTTTTTTCTCCTTTTTCTCTCTCCCCCCTTTTTTTTTTTTTTTTTTTTTTTTTTTTTATAGAGTTAGAGCCTCCTTTTTTAGAATTTTTTGTTTGAAATGCACACAGAAGTCACAAAATTTTAGGAATTTTCACCAATTCAGAAATTTCTTAGATAAGATTTTTACCAAACTATCCCGAAGAAAAAAAAAAAAAAAAAAAAAAAAAATTTTTTTATAGAGTTAGAGCCTCCCTTTTTTGAATTTTTTGTTTGAAATGCACACAGAAGTCACGAAATTTTAAGAATTTTCACCAATTCAGAATTTTCTCAGATAAGAATTTTACCAAACTATCCCGAGGTTTTTAGAAGAGTGCTTAGATTTAGAGTTTTCCTTAGCCAATACTTTTTACCTCTTATTTCAGAATAAGAGAATTTTATTCAGAGACGTGAAACCACGCTCTGCTACCACTTTTGTGAGGAATGAATATGAATTTCGCTTATTAATGTAGAAATAAAACACCTCAATCAGCCGAGCTGCGGCCGGGGTGAATTACACCCTAGTTTAATGTTGGTATATTTCGGAGTTGGAAAAAGATACAAGTCCGAATCTTCCGAATAAACACAAGTCCAAAAAATACCGCAGAAGATCGCCGAGAGCACAACAACCGATGTTGTCAGTACGAATCGCACACTTCGAATGTCTGGTTCGAATTTGGAAAAAGATACAAGTCCGAATCTTCCGAATAAACACAAGTCCAAAAAATACCGCAGAAGATCGCCGAGAGCACAACAACCGATGTTGTCAGTACGAATCGCACACTTCGAATGTCTGGTTCGAATTCAATTTAGTGACCAAGAAAACTATTACAGAAGGCCATTTAGAGATGGCCTTTCATAGATAAAACAGGAAGGGTAGAGAATCGGAGGTCATTGAGGAATGTCTCCTTGAGGAGAAGGCTGAGAGTTTCGGCGACCTCGGGTTCCCACAAGATTAACGGGAGGATGAGTTTGGCGCCAGCCAAACTCATCCTCCGATTCTAATAAATTTCGCGACAGTCATTATACCTCCTTTTACATGTCTCTTTATTCCTTGGAAAAATAAATACTGTAATTACTCAAGTACCACGTGCACATTTCTTTCTAAAATTTCAGAAGAAAAAAAGGGGTGTGTGTCATAAGCAGGTAAAAATTTTCCAGGAATTTTTAGGAAGTTATGTGTGCATTAATAAGGGAGAAATTTGGAACAAATGTAACAAGAAAACTTTTTTGTACTGAAACAGTTGAGAATTGATCAGATTTTTGTTCAATTCATGTCTAACGTTAATTTTGTGTTTTTATTTTCGAAATTTAATGGTTTAGGATTCACTAATAATTGGGGTGCGCATCTTACTTGTGGATAAGATTTTAGCAAAATTTCGAACTGAAAAACCCCTGTGCACACCTTACTCAAGGGCACGTGGTACTCAAGGAAATACGGTATACATACAAAGGTTTTTTTCATAAGTTTTGAAACTTTTGGACATAGATCCAACGGAGTTTCAAAGATTCCAATGAAAACTTTTATTTGCATAGCCGCATCATTAGGTAACATTTCAGCGCCGTTCAACTTACTCTCCTCAAATTTCAATGTTTTTCTTCATGCAATACGTTTAATGATCAAAATAGTGCCAAAAATCAAGTTTCTTTAGTTGATTGAGCTGTTCTGAATCAACGGCTAAAGTGAGGCGCTGTCTGTGTCCTTGAAATCAAACATTTTAGATCGTTCTGCACTGTCGGGAACAGCCAAAAATCACAGGGTGCCTAAAAAATTAAAAGAACTCGATTTTTGACGCTTTTTGATCGTTTGACTTATCGCATGAAAAAAAATCATTGAAATTCGCGGAGAGTAAGTTGAACAGCGCTGAAGTGTTACCTTTGATGCGGCTATGCCAGTAAACATTTTCTTTGGAATTTTTTAAAACTCCGTTGGATCTGTGTCAACTTATGAAACAACCCTCGTATGCTGTGTATAGAATGAAAACGAGCGATTTTCCACTCTTCTTTATCGAAATGGAGACCCAAGCCCAGATTTCACCCTCGAAAAACTTTTCATTGCCCCCCAAAAGTTTCAAAGACCTGAAGGCATCTTGGCCCACATCCCACTCATAAACCGCGTGATTGTGCCTGAAGATTTCATGGAGTGTTAAAGCCCTTACAGATGCACCCGATGACTTACTGCTATTTTTTGAAAATTGCATCATTATATTTGTATGATTTTCCGCTGGATTTCTTGACGTTTTTGTGCCGTTGCAGCAGCATTGAATTTCCATTTCGGATATTTTCGCAATGCATACAAAGAAGTTCAATGAATCATGCACGATTTTAATCATATCAAGGATCGCCAGTTATGAACTGCGTGAGAAGATAGCTTATTCATGTTTTATTCGTGATAATGTTTTTTACAATTTAACAGGAAGTCAGCTTATTGAGCCAAAGCTAGGGTAAGCTTGGCACTCGATCAGCACTTGACCGCGCACGACTCTCTATATGAACCAGGTTCACCTGCTCTCTAGAAAGTTTGAAGAAGTCGTCTCCTCTAGATATGCTCCTTATCCCGATAAAGAAGTCAAATAAATAAGGAAAAATACGGGAAAAATATGAAAAAGTCCTCAGCACGGAAAAAAAACTGCGCGGAACAAATTGTCTGAACTCCGGATCCCTCGCACGGAAACCTGGTGCAATATACAAAACTATGAGAAAGGAAAACAGAGAAAAAATCGAGGCCAAAATCTGAGCTGGAAGACCCCCCCATTTTCCAGGATCCCAAGTACACTATAGTCATTTTCAGGATGGACGGGGATGAAATATACGTGCTTTCGTCCGGAAAAAAAGTGGGGGTTTGTGTGAAGTGGGCCACACCAGAGACGACATTTATGCTCATGAAACGACCCGACAGTTGCAACAACTCATGGTCGACTTCCTCCTTATCCGGACGTTTTAGGGTTTATATATGAATGAATAAATACTGGAGGCATATAAATAAAGGTACTGTATGTTGTGTTGTGAAAACAGTGTTTGAACCACCGGTGGGGATACTTCTTGAGCAGTTTTGGCCCTGCGAGATCCCGGGTTATCATCGCATAATTTTGTGGAAAATATTCCTTTTTGTGGCGCGTGAACAAGCTTCGAATTTCGGAAGGAAAAGAATAGTTTTTAATTTCTTCCCACCGTCATTTTCAAATCCCACGAATAAATTACTTGTATTCTGCGAGGATAACCCGAAACTTCAGCCGAATTTGGGTTGATTCGAAACCCAAATTTGGGACACTGTCAATCAAATCTGCAGTTGATCGAGGAAAAAAGGATAAAAAAATGTCTACATAAATACAACATATACTTGAACTTTTTTAATGCCCTTTTTCTCGCTATCACTTCACTTGTCCCCAAGTTCAGTACTTCGGCAATTAATTCACATATCAGTTTGAGTCCCAAAAGATCACCAACTTAATCCTCCTACGTCTTTCTCCTGTTATCCTTTTTTCAGTAACACTGGATTCCTTATTCACCTTATTCAAGTGGGTAAGGAAGGAATTACTCTGAAGAGTCTTTCCAAGATGAAAATAGGCTTTATTTGTACTTTGTACTTATAAAAATTGACTGATGGTCTAATTTTTCACGATTATTTTTTCTCCTTTATTGACTACAGTCGAACCCCGTTAAGACGCCCCCCGATAAAGCGCCACCCTTGGCAACTGCCGACATTTTGAATGAAACAAATCTCCTCAATACTAAATGCCATAGAAAACCTCAATAAGACACCAACTGCCATCCGCCAGCATTGGTGATGAAACAAAAGTGATGTTTTGTATTAGTTTTGTCTTTGTTACAACACCAACATTGAGGTACAATTATATTTTCTGTCCAGGGTCTTGTATTGGTAAGAAGAAAACAAAATGACAATCTTCATTTTTTGAAAACTTTGAACAATATATAGTATAGAGCTAATTTTAAAATTTGAATAAATTGATACAAAAAAAATTATTTTCCGAAGGAGTAATGCATAAATCACAGCAACACTCTTTGGAAAATTACTGAAGTTTCTGGAAAACTTGTATTTCTATTACTTTTGAAGGAAAATCAAGCATTTTTGATGAAATTATTTATAATGAAATATTCGATAAACCGCCAACCCCCTTTAAACCGCCAGAATTGCTCTGGACAAATGGTGGCGTCTTATCAGGGTTTGACTGTATATGTAAATGGTGTAAACATTGATTGTGGCGTCGACATTCGAGAAGCCAAATTGCCACTCAAGTAATTTTTAACATACTCTCATCTGCCTTTTCTGTTTTTTCTCGTCTTCTTCAAAGGATTGTGTCATTGACTGTCTGGATGGTATCTACGTTGATCGTGGCGCCCATTTTCCTCTTCTCCAACGTGATGCCGGACACAGAGACCGGACAGCCCATGTGCAACGTGTTCTGGCCCGAATCGAGGCTGTTCCTCAATGGAGAAGCCGCCTTCATCACGTACAGCTTCACCCTGGGCTTCGCTGTTCCACTGGCACTCATACTTTGCTTCTATGTCCTGGTTGTGGTGAAGCTCAGGACTGTTGGCCCGCGACGGAAATCCGCCCAACGACGTCGAGATCACCAAAAGGTTGCCTTTCATTCATTCTAAGACAAATTTTTGCATTTCTACTTTGTATAGTGCGTAACATAATTAAACTTTACCCACATATATATCCGCCGCGGACTTTTGCACCCGCACCGGATATATGGTCACAACGGGTTGGGCGTCAAGCGCCTTCAAAGAACGCCCAGGCGGGGACATTTTCTCAAACATCATAAATTTATGTTGCATTTTTTTCCCCCTTCCAATAATGCTGCTTTCCTAAAGAAAAAAAACCTGTTCGAGTCAAATTTTCGTGCGTCCCTCTGATTTTGAATCGAATAAAATTGACTGATAGTCCAATTTTCCTAAGGAAAAAATCATACATGTTCGTTATTGCGTTGTCTCAGAGATTTCTTACTGTTATTTCATGAAATTTCTCGTTGAAACCCTGTACATTAAGAAATAGGAGAGCGAGTGAAACAACAATGAAAAAGAATCTGGCATGCATCATTAGATCTTTCCCTGAAATGTCGTGCAATCTAAAATCATCTTTCATTCTAAAATTATTTGAAAGAAGTGGATATGTGGACTGTAAGCTTGGCTTATTTCATTTTTCGTGATAACATTTAAATGATCCAATGGGTGTCATTTTTACCTGGCACACTATACGCCTCACGTTTATTCATTGAAAGGGTATCAGAGGTATGAGGGGTCTAACAAAAGTTCTTGGAATATAAATTGAAATGGCATATAATTGAGCTGAAAAACAATTATTCTTCATGGAGAACATATTCTTTGGCACAAGAAAAAAATCAGCCCTGTTTGACACATTTTTTTGAATGTTTTGCAAAAGTTACCCTGTTAAAGTTCTGCTCTCCACTGAAAAGATGAGACGCCCTTCCTACAGATTTTGTTGTTTTCGCCCAGCTTTCCACTCAGAATTCTTGAACTAAACATGGCATTATTTCCAAGGGTTGCCTCCAGGTCTTCCGAGGTAATTCTGCCATTTTCGTCGACAGCCGTCTTCACAGCCACCAATTAGGATGGGGATATGGCGGCTGTTGATGAAAATGGCGGAATTACCTTTGAAGACCTGGAGGCAACCCTTGGAAATAATGTCACGTTGATTTCAAGAATCAGCGTGCCAAAGAGTATGTTTTCCCTGAAGAGGAATTGCTTTTCAGCTCAATTATATGCCATTTCAATTTCCATTCCGAGAACTTTTGTTTGATCCCTTGTATATCCAAAGGATCTGTTATGAACTAACTGTATTGAATATTGGCTCACCACTCGTTGCATCCCTTCGAAATGTATTTGGTGCAATATATTTAAATTAAGAATTTCAGAGTGCCTTCCATAATTTGTTTTGTTTTGTTTTGTTTGGCAGGTGACCCGCCTGGTTCTCACTGTGGTGGCCGTTTATGTCTGCTGTTGGCTCCCTTATTGGCTGACTCAGTTGGCGTTGCTCAACGCTGACTCCGCCCACACGCCATTGGTGGCTACAGTGTACACGTTCGCGGCAGCTTTGGCGTATTCGAATTCAGCCATGAATCCAATTCTGTATGCTTTCTTGTCCGACAACTTCAAGAAGAGCTTTACAAAAGCGTGCAGGTTCGTGGATTGAGTATTTTAAATGCAATACTGTAGTAACGATACGAGGGTTCACAGGGTTCCGCGCGGACTTGAAATGATCTGAACACCCATCAATTTTAAAAATGTTTTTCTCATGTTCACTATACACTACAGTGAGACCCCCAGATGCAGACATGATTGGTGCATCAAGAGTGTCACTAAGTTGAGTCTTGTTTTCCTCAGACTTACATTATATAATTTTTGATTGGTGTTTTATGGAAGAAATATTCTTCAGAACTCCATGAAAAAAATTGTTTGCGACTTGAGCAAACAATTGGAGCATTGAATTGTGTATCTCTTTAGTTCTTTACTGTATATTGAAATGTTGGCATCTACAAAAATAACATTCAAGTCACAAAGAGAAAAGGAAGTTCCTCTATACACTAGGTAATTTTTAAAATCAGCTGAATGGTTGGGAAAATGATGGGATAAATGACAAAGAATTTTTCTTGCATAAAACTTAGGGTTGTAAATATCTGTTTCTTGCAATCAAGCTGAATAGAAGATAATTTTTGTGAAATTAATTGCCAACTTTATCATTCAATGTGTCCTCATCTCAAGTCAGTGTCTGTATGTCAGGCCTTTTTTATGCCCTTTTTATTGAAAAATAAATGTCCCTATGTTGAATTGTCCTCATGTCAAGGTGTCTACATGTGGAGGTCTCACTTTACTGTAGTTCCGAGTGGCTAGGCAGCACATTCTCAACATAATCACCACCCATTTTTACACACTTCTCAGCCCTTTTGATCCTTGTATTGAGACAGGCCTTGAAGTGCTCAGTTGTTGAATTTTGAAACCTCACACAGAGCAGCTGCAAGAAGCTTATCCCTGGTTTTAAAGTGTTGGCCTCTCATAACTGGGCTCCATCAGCTTTGGAAAGAACCAACAGTCAGAGTAGGGGGGCCAGGTGAGGGCAGTAGGGTGGTGGTTTCAAGACATTCAGGCCCAAAAACCTACAGGCAACGAAACGTGGACTTTGCCTTGTGGGCTGGGGGGCATTGTCATAGTGGAACCACTTATGCTTCTGTTTCGACACATGCGTCAAAGAGACTCAGAAGTGTGAGCGAATTGGCAGCGATTGCGTTGAAAAAATGTCTGCAAAGCCTCTGGGATACCGGTGAACATGAGAAAAATGTAGAAGCAAAAAATAAAAATAAAATCCCTGTTGCTTCATTTCGAATCCGCATCGAAACATTTCCGCGCGGAACCATGCCGCCCCATCTATGCTGAAATGAGTCCGCGGGGAAATGTGTAAGTCCTTGTACAGTGAATCCCGACAACATGGATGTTTCAACTGGCGGAAAATTAGGCTGATATGGGCGCATTTTATTTTGAAAAAAAAAATATAAATAAATACCCCAACATCTGAGAAATGTTTCAAGATATTGACACTTCTCCAAAATTTCCGAAAAAAATAAGAAGAATGGTTCGTAATTACCGTCATAGTCTCCATTGCATACAATTTAAAACACATTGCTGGACCTTAATTTTTTTTTTTTTTTATGCTACAAAAGCGTCTCTATAACTGATATTTCTCCGGCAAGTGACTTCCAGTGCAAAAATACGGCTCGAAGCGATATTTGAATGTCGCTCAAACTTGTCGAAATTATATTTCGATTATTGACTTGGTGAACTATTGCATTTCATACTTAAAACGGAAGTTTCAAGCATATGAAACTTGTTGCTCATGTGATGCAAAATCCCAACACCTACTCCCGAAATGATATTTTCATGTCTTGAATGTGGAAGTTTGCAGTCCTTCGATGAAAGTTTTAAATGAATGCAATGAATGGAATCCATTCGTCTGAAATGATGTTCAATCATGCTGAGTTGTGCAGGCATTGCTGAAATAATGAATTCAAAGGTAAATCTGATGGATTGGGAATTGACTATTGTTCTTTTTAAAATGTGGCTCATTTGTTAAAAATTGAACACAAATTGGAGTAAAACCATTGCAGCACATGCTGACTTATTACTGCTGTGTGATAAACGAAAAATCGTTGAACGATTAAACGCAAGCGTTTGTCAAATGTGAACAAAGTGCTCATCCGACCTCAAAATTTATCATTTAGAGACCATGAAAAGCCATTTAAGCCACAAATAATTGCAGTTCTAAATTCAAGACGATGGAATTGGCTGTGAGATGGGCATGTCAACTCTTTTCTAAATTGTTTCATATCCCGAGCGTGTATATGTGATGTTCAGTCGGAATAAATAGTCTTCACGGAAATAATGGCAGCTTTAAAAAAAAGTTGAATTGCAGAAAATCTCGGGAATGACGATGCAGGAGAAAGCAATTCCCTTTGAACCCTTTTTTCATAATTTCCTGGAGGGATTTAAATAAATAAAAGAAATTTCATGCACAACTGTTGATACATGACTAAAATCCTTGCTGAAACCCTAATGCTTTTACATCTGCTAGGTGGTCTGAGTTATTCAAAATGTCTTCAAGCTGGGTGCATTTAAATAATTTCCCCGCGGGTTATTTTTTTCATATTCTGCTCAATTTTTGCACATTATTATTTTTCCGTCGAAATCACCTCCCGTATATGATCTTTTTACGGGAGCCAGGCGTAATTTATGCTATGATGAAATTGATAATATTGTATCTTAGAAGAGAGAAAGAATCAATTACTTTTCAGAAATCTTTTAGTCCGTTTAGTGATAGAGAATAGAAAATGGTGTCTTGCAAGCTGTTCGAGAGTCCAATTCTTGGCGTTTCGACCAAGTTTTTTTTAAATTAATAGTTAAAATGGGTTTCCTGGGTGATAGGCAGTCCCAAGATTAGGTACAGGTACTTTTCTTTCCAAAAGTACCCCGAGGCGAAAAAATTGTTTATTCATGGGGAAAAAGTTTTGCGCAAGCACAACTTGTTGAAAAAATTCCACGATTTTCTTCAGGCGACGAAGTTAGCTTCAAAACAAAGTGGAAGAAAATTAGCAATTTTTGCAGAACGAAGTTTTGCGAAAAAGTACTCGAATGTGTAGAAGACGAGACTTTTTTTCTTTGTCTCGAAAATTGAAGAAACTTTCCGTGAAAATGTGAGTTTAACCTCTATATTGCTTGCGACTTTTACAGAATGAAGAGAGTCCGTTGAGTCTACGTCAGCTTTATTTACCAACTTGACCTCCTGGGATTTTCAAATTATGTGATCTTCGTCTGTGTAAATGCCAGCCAATAACTTATTCGATTGGATTCTATTTTTAATTTGACCAATGATTGTGTTGGCGAATAATCATGCTCTTTAACCGCAAATTTAAGATGTCGTCAAAGGTTTATATTGGCAATAATTTTACATTCAAGTTTTTATTTTTAAATGAAGGCTCATCCAAAATTTGCCCGTATGCTGGAACACTTCAATTTGACCGAAGGTCAGCTGAACCATAGCTGAGCTCCGTGGACAAGGTCGGCGAATTCTTTTTTTTTTAGACCCGCTTTGTGAATTGACTTGTAATATCGGCTCATTCGTGAAATTCAGAAAAATTGAAATATTTTCAGGATTTTTTTCTTCACTAAAAAGCCTGATACTTGTATTCCGTGACTTCGGTTTCCTACTGTTTCTCAAATGAAGGCAGTTTTTCCCGTCATTGAACCTATAAATTATTGGGAATATCCCGACTTCGTCGCCGAGGTGCGAAAACTCGCCCTTATCTACCTTTAGGGCGATAATATCGCCAAGAAAAAGGTTCAAGTATGATCGTCACTTTGCTTTCCTCTCACAATCGTCACATCGGAATTAAGTGACACTAATTCAAACAAGACAATTGTCTTCCGGAGTTGAATTCTAAAACAATTCACCCGTTTTTTCTTTAATATGCAGTGAGACCCCAAGATACAGATGTAATTGGTGCATAAAGAGTGTCCTTAAGTCAAAATGTCCCTTAGTCAAGTCTCATTTTCCCTTAGACTTACATTATATTAATTTTAATTGGTGTTTTATGTACAAAATGCTCACCATAATTCCATGAAGATAAAAATTGTTTCCCAATTTAAATTGTTTCAATTTATATATTCCACACAATATGGACATTTTGGGAATGGAATGCTGATATCTCTGTACAGTGCATAGAAATGTTGGCGTTCTATGTAAAAAATAGCATTCTGGTGAAAAAGAGAGAAGGAAGTCCCTCTATGCTGGAAGTAAATTTTTTTAATAGCTGATAAGTGGATGTTAAATTGGTAAGAGAGATGCCCAAGAACTTTCCTTACATCAATTTTAGGGCTGGAAATATCTGTTTCTTGTAATTATGGCCTGAAACTTATTTGCAATTTTGTCACAAAATGTCCCTATGTCGAGTCAGTGTCCTCATGTTGGGCCTTTTTTTATTAATTTCTTTTGGGAAAATAAGCGTCTCCATGTTGAATTGTCTGCCTGTCGAGGTGTCCGCATGTGGGGCCTCGTTGTATGCTGTATTTACATTTCAGATGTCGCGGATGGCTTCGTGGCGGCCCGGGCTCGGACCGCGGCAACGCCAACGAAGGCGACGAACAAGGCGGCGGTGGCGCCGTTTTCCCGGCCAGAACCCGCGACACGAGCTTCGCCGTGTCGCGACGTGCCACCGGTGTCGCACTGCTCGACAGCATCCCGCTTCAATACCGGAATCCTCTTCAAAATCGACAGCAGCAGCCTCAGCCATCAGAGATCTGTCCGGCTGCTGCTGCTGCTGCTGATGCTGATGATGATGATGGCCTCGATCAGCAGCAGAAATCGCTGGTAGTCGACGAGGAGCCAGACAAAGTCGACCCCGTCACTGTCGATCCGCAGCAGGAAGAAGCGCAGATCGACGACAGCAAGGTTTGATGCGATGCCGAACAGGGAAAAAAAAAAAGAAAGCTGCGGTGGATGTGGGTCAAGTGCTGACGCGTGTGTGAGGTCAGTTTACTCGTGGTAGTGGAAGGTCATGAATTATTCTTTCCAGATGTCGGTATCCGTCTTTGCTCTCTCTTTTTTTCCGTTTTGAGAAGCTATAGTCTAGGACTAGGTCATTTTTCCCAATGGATGAATGACTTGGGAATTTGACCCTATTGCAATCTCGGGTATATTTTTAATTTGTGAGTTTGCCTTTTTTTAAATTACTAATATGGTGTAAATTACCTGGAATCGCAGACAAAAATTTGCCTCTCAAGAATTCGGAAGTAAAAAAAATAATAATAATTATGAAGACAGGAAATTTTACGCAGGGTTGACGAGCTATTTGGGCCGATTTTCAGGCCAAAAAAAAAACTACACGCCGAGGTAAAAAACTTTAAAATAAACCCAACAATTTGTTTTAACGAAAAATTAATTTTTTTCGTAATTCGTCTAGAAATTCGTGAAACTTCTATCTGAAAAAACGAGACCAAGCTTTTCAAATCTCAAGTTTATTCCTGATCAGCATACAGTACTTTAACAAATTAGCCAAGTTTTCATGCAACAAAAGCAACCAATTTTTTCAACCGCAGCAGCGTTTCTCCAGTAAAAAAATATTCTTAAATCTTCTCGAAGGAAAGGATAATGAGAACTATCTAAAGAAAAAAAACATGAAAAACGTCATTAGTTGGACAGAATAATGAAGTTTCGTCTGGACGAGATTAATTTAGCACGGTGTCTGAAGTTTTGGTCGAGACCTTGAAAAAAGTTTTTATAACGGTATTCGTTTTTTTTTTTTACGGAATAAACCCCGTATGCGGTCTATTGAACATTGATCTTGAAATTTCTGGTCGCACGGATTCTGAAGATTACTTGAACGATCAAAGTTCCCGTCTACATTTAGAGTATGTTTTTCGAGACGACAGGAAATTTACTAGGTTCTTCGATTTTTCAGTTTTTTACAGCCTCGTGCAAAGGAAATTTTGAAAGCGGTCGTCTCATTATTATTTTTTTACAGATTTATATCTCGAATCAGATTATTGAAATGGGGTTTTTAAAAAAATACAAGACCTTTTGTCGGACTTTGTCTTCATGAGAATGATGATATCGACTTCCGCACTGCTCACCTTGAAATCTGAACCAACAGCAGATGAGAGACCTTAGAAAACGCTCTCCTCAAAAATATACCCCCCCCCCTTTTTCTTAAATAAATTGCCAGTCGAGAACCCCGCCGAGAGATGAGGCGGGGTTCCAGTGAAGACGGGAGACGGGCATGAAAGGTGCCAATTCCCATGAATATTTCAATGGCTGTCATTCGGAGAAAAGCAGGTTTATGTACGAGTTCCGGAGCAGCTTTTGTACAGAAGAGGCGCTCGTGCCACGCATCAATTCTGCATGAGAACGCTTTTGGCACGAATCTCGTCCCGTGGATGTTCATTGCCCGGCAGCATGTACAGTATAAGTACATGGTGCTGCGAGAGGGGTTGTGATTGAACACGCAAGCTCGGTTTCGCATTAGAAGACCCCTGTTATTTCTCTCACTAATATACTGGCGTGCGTATACATGACTATGAATAAGTCGGGGAGAAGCGATTGATGACCCGGGTCATTCCCGATGCGAATGTTTGCCCGAGATCCCGAGGTGTGTAAATAATATTGCATAGTACAGCATGTGTTTGTACATGGGCATATAATGTCAGCGACTGAGCAAGTTTCTAGAAAAGGGGGTATGAGAAGGAGATTTATGTAGCTTTCAATAATGCAGCAGAACTACTGGTGCTGAATCCAGCAGGGAGTACAGAGAAAAGGTTGTTATAGGGATTAAATGTTTCTCAACAAAGAAAAGTGATGAATGAATGAACAGAAAGCTGTATTTTCTGCTTTTCAGCATTCACAAGGTTCAATCAACATTCCCACATCCAAACCCCCTCCCCACCAAACCCAAATCCATTCAAAGCTATTCAATCGCTTCAGAATAGGAAACAGAGAAAAAAGCTGCATATGGATTCCAAAATAAAAGAAAATATATTCCACAAAATACTACTGATGTGTATGTGTACACCCCTTCTTTCCCTGACACATAGAAAACAAAATGTCAGTAACAAAAATTGCAGCATAAGCCAGAATTATAGCCATTGCAGCAGTTACTGAACCCAATTTAAAGCGCGAGGTTTTCAGCCTGTTTGCAGATAAGGTTTAGTTGAATGAACAATTTAGAGAGAATCTTTGATGAGAAAATATATAACTCCAACAGTTTATCTTGATCCGCTATGATTTCAGAAAAGTGATTAGAATTTAAAATAAAACCCAACAATAAGCCTGGGACTGGATGGGAGTCTCTCTATAGAGAGGGTTCTCATCTCATAGGGACATTCCTTCTGCTTCAAACAAATTTCAGGGAAAATTGGAAGTAAAGTACTTTGAATATCATTCCGAAGAACAAAAATAATTTTAATAGGCTGGCAGATTGCCAGGTGAATGAAGAAAAAAATAATAACTTGGGTTTATTTTGTCCCAATACAACATCCTTCAACTCAGAGAACTTTGGAACTCACATACAAATGCTTTCACGCAATGCACATATAAATTCAGACAAGGTTTTTCTGAGGATTCAATGCATGCTTTTGAGCTCTGTACAGTTTGAGAATTTGCAGTGGCGTGGGAAAATCTGCTGACTTGGAGAAGAGAGATGACAGAAAAAATTGATTTCCTTGGATTGGAAGAGGATGCTGTGCATGGTCATACCAGTCCTTCCAGACTGGTTTTTTTTTTTTTTTTTTTTTTTTTTTTTTTTTTTGTT